CCGGATCTCTCCAACCAAATATTTCTTCAGACCCAAGATCCACGACTGCTTGTCGGATCCGCTCGATCCTCAGCTCTCTCACAATTTCCTCCCGTAGTGAGTCTGGATCAGATCCAATACTCACTCCAGATCTAGCCTTAGATCGGATCGTTACGGCAGATATCTGGGCGATCTCGTCTTCGATCTTCACTATCAGGATCTCATCCAACCGGTTCAAGGTTACTAGATCCTGGATCTCCTTTTCAGACTCGACCTCGATCCCACATTGTCGCTGCAGAGCGGCGCTTGCTAAGCTGTTAGCACTCCCGTTCCAATCTCGTTTAACATGTAATAGCTCGTGATCTGGCCAAGTACGTAGTCGATCCAGAGCCTGCTGGTGCAACAGTGTCAAACCCGGTGCCTTACAATCCATCTCACCTCGCACTTGTCGGATCACCAGGTTCGAGTCCCCACCGATCACTAGACGTCGTGGATCCAGGTCTTCCAACAGATCCTAACACAACAACAGTCCATGATATTTGGCTTCGTTCACTGTTAGTCCTTCCGCGTAGCCAGATTTGGCCTTTAGCACTCTCCATTCAGGCAATTTCCAACAGGATCGCGCTGTAGGTGCCTCCACCTCGCTTGACACGGGCGGATCCATCAAAACGGACGACGTACAAATTCTCGTCGCGTCTGATAGTGGGAATCGGAGCCTAGATCTTGCGCCGTGGCTCCTTCTTAGGGGCAATCGAGATCAGCGCCTTATCCACCTGTGATCTAGGCGTAATTCTCGCCGCCAATGCTCCCAGGCTCTCATCTTCCTCTTTAACGCACTTGGTGATCTCGAGAGTCCATTGCGACAGTAGAAAAGCCCACTGACCTAAACGTTCCTGCAAGGCTTTGGATCTAAAGAGCCACACCAAAAGTAGAGTGTCGGTTCAACACATGGACCGGATGCCCTTCCCGTGCATTGTAGTTAAGATCCAGGATCCTTAGGAGGGCTAATACCTCCTTCTCCGCGATGCGGTATTTCAGCTCATTCGACTTCAGAGTACGGCTCGCAAACATCACGGGGTAGTAGATCTGGTCGTATTCCTGCATCAATGAGCCCGAAATGGGCCAATCGCTAGCATACGCCACGACCGTAGCTCTCCGATCTGGATCAAAATGCCGTAAGATCGGAGTAGTAGCGATCTTGGTTTTAAGCACACTGAAGGACCGATGGGCATGGATCCAACGCGGACCCACCTCAGTAGGATCTGGCGCCTCCAGATCCAAGTCTTTCGGTGGCCGACCCCTTGATATTCCTGTGATCCTCGATTCACGTTCTCTGCTTCCAACACGTGTTGAATCTGCGCTTGGGTAGCCTCTTTCACCATCGCAGCAAGTCGATTTCTCGTAATTCATACAGAACTGACGCATAAATCGCAAGTCTTCAATGAACCGGCTGTAATAGTTCAGACTTCCCAAAAATGACTGCATGACCCTAAATGATCCTGGAAATGCTAGATCCGCCAATGCCGACAGGTCTTTCGGGTTCGCCTCCAGTCCATTGTGGGAGACCTTATGACCCAGATATCCCACCTTAGGCATCCTCCAGAAGCTCTTAACCACGCTGATCGACACATTCCACTTATCACACGCTGCGAGTAAACCTTCGACTCGGTCACATAGTTGATCCCAGTTATTGGCTGGAATCGGAATGTCATCGATATATGATCTACGCTCAAGTACCGATGGCTTGCCTGGATCCACCGGTTCCCCGTCCTCAAACACATCCAAAGTATTTCCGTGATCTTCAGACTTCGGGATCCGGGTGAACCCATATGGCGCGTTGTCGATCATACGTTGATAGATCTGGGACGCACCAAAAGGCATTCGATTCCACTCAAATAACCCAAAAGGAGTGATAACAGCCGAGATCAAACGAGCATGATCCGTCATTTTCACTACCCAAAATCTACTCGCCATATCCAACGAACGGTACCAAAGTGTTGACTCCAGATCATCAAGTAAGTCCTTGATCAAGGGCATTGGGTATATCATTAGTTGAGTTAGGCTGTTAATCAATGCACAACCTGATATCACTTCGTTCTTCTTGATGATCACCACGATCGGGGAGGCCCATGGTGATCTAGAGTAATTGACCATCTTGGCAGACAACAGTCCCTTGATCAAGTCCGCCAGCTTCTCCCTGAACTAGATCTGCAACTTACGACACTTCAGGACGATAGGCCTCGCTCCTCCGACATCGATGTCGCGTACAATATCTCTGGTTGCCGGTGGGAGGGCATTTCCTTTGCCGATCAAGAGGTGTCGGAACTTCCAGATCCTTTGGCGAAGTCGATCAATTTCTTCTGGGGTCTGATCATCAGATCCACATAGCTGGATGTCCTCGATCTTCACATCTTCCGTCGTCACGGGCACTTCTGGCAGTACCGCCATCTGACCGTCGACATCTTCCGCGTACAGATCACTTCCTTCGTGGTAGTATACACATTCATCATAATCTTGATCTGAGCTCCAGGTGAGATCCAGATCCGACGCGTCTGGTTGATCTTCAATAGCAGGTGGTGGATCCATGTCCGTTTTTTTGCGACATAGACGCGACGCACTTGCCGTTCAACGGATCACTCGCCACATGTCCCGTCCCAGATTGTACACTCATCATTGATGACGGATCTGATCCACCGTATTTCGACGGTGATGTTCCTTGACCTGACACCTCAAATGTAGTTGATCCTGGTTGGTGACCCCATCCCGACCTTCTTCTTCTCGAGCCCCCACTGCACTTGTAGTCGCTTCCAACGGTGGATGCGTCGTCCAGACGTCTGGCGATATCTGATCGGGATCTTCCAGCGCCT